CAGAACAGGGGAGCTCGGGGGAAATTTTCATAGCTCGATTCTTGAGCTCTAGTGATCCAAAAATCCCGTAAGTAATGCCTAATTCATCTATACATCGTGATTTATCGATTTAGAGCTTTAAAACGAGTTTTTGGTTCAGGAATTTCTTGAATTCCCGATAAGCCAAATTAGGGTTTCGGAGTATCCGGAAGCCGGATTGAGCCCAAATTTAATATACGAGCTTCTTGCAGCGAGGTAATCAATCCTCTAGTTCTAATTCATGAATTTCGGCAATTATTTAGGTCGGGGTCCGAATCGCTGAATTTAGCTCTGGCCAGGGTTTGATGTGTTTTTATCAAGAATTTGACCAGGAGCCTAGAACTAATATTGACGGGGATACTGCAGGGGATATTAGGACGGTCTCGGATTTTAATTTGGGGTTCGTTCGTGAAATTGACATTTTAGTACCGGAAGGTTAAACCGGTGTTTGAACGACCAGAACTGGTGAGGGATTAGCACGGCATACCGGGTTTGTCGTATCACGATAATTATATTGATGCTTAGAATTGATCTAGGTGAACTAGAATGGCATGATTAGGGGTGTATGAACTTTTGTGCTATATGTTGAACCCTGGATTGTTGTATGATATTATTGACTTGCCCTAATCGATATGGACCTTGTTTATGCTGATGATTGCATACATGTTGCCTTTTGTGGCTTAACTGTTGATATGACTTCGTGGTTGTTTGATCAGGTGTTTTGACATGATGTGATATTGTGGTTGAATTTGGATTCACAAGTGGGGGGAAATAAACTCCCCAGGGTGATATTATGATGTTTTAAGGAGGATGACTTGCACGAGGGTTTATCCCGAGGAAGTGCAATTATACGACTCCTGGTTATGTTGAGCCAATTGTGGCCAGGTCAAGAACATGTCCAAGTAATGAATTATCATTAAGCAAGAAGAGATATGAATCATGTATAAGGATACCAAATATGAGTGTTGTGGTCTCACGGTCAACTACATAGTAATTAGGGCTCCCTATGCTATTACTCTATTATGATATGTATGATAGTCACACCTCTCATGTGGTGGTGACTGAAGGATTCTTACGAGATATGACCACACCCAGAGCGGTGTCGGGGTATGACTACACCCATAGTGGTGTGGGGTATGTATGACCACATCCGACGGGATGTTGGGGTATGTATGACTACATCCGACGGGATGTGGGGTATGTTTCCCGGGAGAGTTATTAGCATGGGAGTAGCCAGGCGCCTATAAGTAAAACTTGATAAGATGCATATGCATAAGTCAAGGTGGTTGAGTCTTTTGCCTATTGGGATGTCGGAGGGCTGAGATCTGATCCTAGTGCTTTGGCTTGTTTGCTAGATGTATGGTAGTGGTATGCTATGTTATGAACTCACGATGCTATGATTATCTCACTCAGCTATGAGCTGATCCTCTTTTATTCTTCTTCTCTGCTTATGCCATGTGTAAGCAGATCATCAGCAGCAGCAGTAGATAGGTGTATAGGTGGGAGCTTAGCAAGAGTTGAAGGCAAGATGAGGTATGGTCTTCAACTACTCTGTGCTTGGACTACTACTCGGGATTTTGGCCAGTGATCCACACCTTTTTGTAAAAATGTTTTGAGAACGTTTTTCATGTGCATACTAGCTTCTGATGTAGTGTGAGATATCCACAGATGTGGAAAGTTGATGATATGTGTATATGTTGTGTAACTGTGTAAGTTGTGACGATTATGGTATGTATAAGTTTGGTATGCAGTTGTGTAGTATGAAACTGTGACTATGGCTATGAAAGTCCATATATATGGTTGAGAGTATATATGTTTGTCATTGAATGCATGGATTCAGATGAATTATTTTGCAGGATAAGTTGCAAGAACTGTTAGCCCATTACGCGAGTAATTCATGTCGAAATTTTATTTGGGTAAATTTTGATAATTAATGTAACGCCCGAGATTAATTCCGCTGCAATTGTATGAACAATATGATTAGGCAAAACGTATAGGGTAGGGTGTTACAGAGACCGTCTCTGATCCTTGTGTTGCACAACCAAACTGTTATCATCTTTATTGATTCCTATTATATATATACATAAGTACAATTTCAATTGGAATGTGATAGAATTGTAGCGCCATAGTTGAATAACAATTGGTATCAGAGGACTTCTTGTTGAACTTACTGTTGTCGAGAAGAAGATCCTCTATCTGCTATGGCTTCCAAAATCTTCCTGACCAGTTCTAATGCTCCGTGGTTTTCTGGTTCTAACTACTCAGTATGGAAAAAGAGGATGCGCCTCTACCTTCGTGGTATTGACTGCGAGTTGTGTCAAAAGATTTTCAACTCTTGTTAATCATCTGAAAGGGCTTGGAAAAACTTTCTCTAGCAAAGAATTGGTCACAAAATTTTAAGGTCGCTACCTATTGAATGGATGGATAAGAGAACTGCTATACAGGAAGCTAAAGACTTAATGTACTCTCTCTCGAAAATTTGATTGGCTCACTTCTCAGTCTTGAGGAAGTCCTCAAACAAATGCCTAAGCTTAATGATAAGAAGAGCAAATCTATAGCTTTTCAGTCTACGTGTTTCAATGAGGAAGAAATGCTTGATGATGAATTAGCTCTGACTTGCAAAAAATTTCAAAGAATGATGAAATTCAAGCATGATCAAAATATCGAAAGAGTTAACAGTATTAACTCTTCCAAATCTGCTGGAAACATGGACAACATTTTTCCTAGATCCTCTGGACAATCTTCTGGTGGATCAAATGATAAAAACTCATTTGGGTCTAACAGAACAATTTTTGGTCCAAAAGATGACAGGAGTCGTCAAGAAAAGGACTCTACTATTTGCTTTAAATGTGGTAAACCAGGTCACAGAATGGCCAACTGCCCCTTGAACAAGATGGAGAAGGTGATGAGCTTTATGGAGTGATCAAGTAAAGACAGACCGTCTCTGATCATTGTGTTGCACAACCAAACTGTTATCATCTTTATTGATTCCTATTATATATATACATAAGTACAATTTCAATTGGAATTTGATAGAATTGTAGAGCCATAGTTGAATAAGACTTTGAGCCCCTCCTCTTTGGCTAGCGAGTCTTATTCTAATAGGGTATGGTTGGCAACGAGTCAGATCAGGGGCGGATAGTTACATAAAATCCCGGCTCATCTAAGTTTTTCGTGGGTATCGAGTGCGGATCTTATTTTGGAATGAATACCATATCTCTTACCATATCCACGGATATTTGGCGGGTACCCATGGATATGCTATATACAATCATTCTAATATTAATCCCAAAGTTATGCTTCGTTTATCAAGGAACAGTCTTAATTTAGTTTATAGAACGCAAGTTACAGGTTGTATTATACTGCCACTCGACATATACACTAGAATTATACAAATGAAAGAGAATATGGTAAATTGAATTCAAATTAACAAACACGCAACCATCGATCACAGTAAAATTGAATTCCAAATGTTGAGTTTATTAGCTTTCTTCACTATAAAATAGGAGACGCGTATCGTTTGGGGTTGGGCAACTCACTTGCTTGAAAGAACTGTCAAATTACGAGTGCATTTGAACCCATCAAACACTTATTGATAGTAAAAATCATTCCTTTCAGCTCAACTCAAGTACCCATATTGTAACATTGGCAAAACCTATATTTCGGTCTCTAGAAATTACGCGATTAAATTGAGTGTTTCGTTAGTATTACGTTCATAATTGGAATATCGATCGATCGGATGCATATACGTATTAAATATATATTATATATGGTTTAGGCTAGCGTGACATACGCTTACCTTACCGTACGTCCGTTCATTTTTGTTTGTTAGATCTTGAATTAGTCGTAGTTTTGGGGCATGATACTATATCCTAACCTCTAAGGTGTGAACCCTAGTCATCAATTCTCTAACCCAAAACATAAGATTCATTTAATCTAAAAATGAAAAATAATGGTTATGATTCGTCAGAAGTATACAAGTACAAATAATAGGTGTGAATGCAGACGTATAGCGTACTCCTAACCTTTGCCATTATATATATATATATATACTAGCTTTTACGGGGCTGTTGGTCGGATCAGTTTCATTTAATTTCATAATATTGTATTTTATCAATATATTAATATTTTAATGAATTAGGATCTTTAATTTTATATAATTTGTGCAGGATAAGTGCCACATTTGGTCACTGGGATTACTAAATTATGTTATATTTAGTCACTAAAAAAAATTAATATCAATTTTGGTCACTCAAATTACTTAGACAAGTCACATTTTGTCATGTTCCAGTTAGCATCCGTCCAACTCCGGTCACTTGAATTACCTTTTTTTTATGAATATCATTCGAATTACTTTTTTCTGTTAGTGTTGACTGATTTTGACAGTCAACATTTTAATAGAAAATTCAGTCATTGTTGACGTGGCATATGATATGGAATTTTAAATATTAATTTTTATTTATATTTTCATCTAAAATGATTAAAATAAGAAAAATAAAAAGTTAGGAAAACCCCTAAATTGTCTTAATCCCTCCTTCGATTCCGCTCCTAAGTCAATATCAAGTTGACCACCGTCTGGTCAAGTGTTATCTATAACGGTTAACAACATCATTAGGACATAAATGACACACAACTAGCATATGTTGGGATATAAATGAAATATTTAATAGTTCAGGACACAAATGATACTTTCTTGATAGTTCGGGTTTCACAGTGGTATTAGCCCTTAAATAAAAGGTATGGACGAAGGGCTGTACAAAATTTATTAATCTAAAAGGAGTTTCTTTGGAACCAATGAAAAGGGGATACTATAATATTGAAACAAACCAATTTGGCGAGGAAAGTACCACCTTTTGACTTGCTCAAATATCACCCCCTCCCTTGTCCTGCTCCACTCATCCCTCTACTCTCCTTCCTTAGTCGTCGATTCATCCTTATCCCTCCTCAGCAACACCATTCCTTCTCCCCTTTTTCATCGCCATATGTTTTCTCCTTTCTTCCCTGCCCCTTCCTTCTCCCCTGCTTCCCTTTCAACCCGTTGCCTTGGGGACCATCTTTTCCTTTCCCATCCCTGTTACACTTCCTCTTCCTCGGCGTCTGTTGATCTTTCTCCTCCAGAAACTGAGTCTGGATTCTCTTCCCACTCGCCCGTTTCAGACTCTTTTGAAACCTTCGACCCTGACCACCTAGCCATCGTCTCCTACAACCCCCTCAATTATGACTACCTTGATTCGTGGCGAATTACGCAAGATCTTTTTGATCTGATTAGGAAGTGTGTGGAATTCTGTGATCTTCTCAAACTTTCTGACTCCATTTTCGCAGACAGTGCTAAGCAGAAGATGGTTCTTATTGCCCCAGAGACCCACCGGAAGAGAAAAGGGGAATCAAGATCTAAATTGGAAATGGAGTTGCGGAGATTGGGTATAAGTGAATGCTCTCTTCCAACTTCCAGAGCTCGGACGCGCTCGGCGCACTAGGTGTAGGTTGGTTTCCTCCTTCGATGCCAGTGGCTTCTTTCAGTTATGACTCATTCTTTCATAGCGTGGAACGTGCGTGGCTTGGGTAACCCGAATAAAAGGGAAAAAATCAAGCGGCTTCTGAAGAGATAGAAACCATCGATCGTTGGCCTAACAGAAACTAAATGGAAGACTTGTGATCAAGTCTTGATTAATTCCATTAGCGGTCGCAAATCTAATGATTGGGTTGCCAAGGATTCGTCTGGTGTAGCGGAGGAATTGCCATCTTGTGGGATTCCTCGATTTAAAAGGCGCTGACGGTTTGGGAAGGGAGGTTTTCTCTAGTTGTTTGTCTGCAGATCATCGAGTCTAAGGAAATCATCTCCTTCCACGACGTTTATGGGTTGCGGGAAAAAGAAGCTAAGCGGGAGTTCTTGAAGGAAATTGAGATGGTCTGTCTTGAGTATTTGGCAGCTCTTTGTATCATTGGCGATTTTAACCTCGTCAAGTCTGATGAAGAATTCATTGGGTGCCCTAGAGATGCTGAGATCATTGAAGAGTTCAACAGCCTGATCAGCAGATGCAATCTTGTAGATCTCCCACTACAAGGTGCGAGATAAACTTGGAACAAATGGGGATTGGTGAGGTCGGCTTCTCGCATTGATAGAGCATTAATTAACTCGTGCTTTGAAGATCTTGTATCTCTAGAAGCCCTGAATGCTCTTGATAGAGTCGAATCGGATCATAATCCGATATTGCTAAAATGGGGCTCCATTGATTGCTTCAGACATCACTGGAGATTTGAAAAATGTGGTTTCATGAAGAAACCTTCTTGCAGAGTCTGGTGGGCTGGTGGTCTGTCCCCGTTAGGGGGAGCAGTCACCTATTCAGATTTGGGCAGAAATGCAGACAGACCAAAGGCCTGATCAAACAATGGAACCGCCTTCATTTTGGGAAAGTGGAGAATCAGATTTCAGATTTACTCTCTAATATCAAAAGAATTGATGAAGCTGAGGAGAATGGACAGCTCAATGAGTTGTTGTTTTCTGAGAGGGGTCTTCTGAAGTGAGAGCTGGAGAAATTTTTAATCATGGAGGAGATCTCCTGGCGCCAACGTTCTAGGGAAATTTTGTTACAAGTGGGAGACAAAAATACCGGCTTTTTTTCATAGAGTCGCTAAGTTCAACAGGCGGAAGAACAAAATCAGTAGATTGGTTATTAATGGCAGGGCAACAGAAGATTGTATTGAGATTAATGCCTCTTTTCTTGATCATTTTAAACCCAAGTTCAATGAAGAAGTAGAAGACCGTCCCTTTCCGTCCAGCTATAGGTCTTATGTGATCTCCCCTGAGATGAATGATGTGCTTGTGCGACCCTTCATGGAAAGTGAGATCTAGCTAGCAATTAGGTAGTTTAATGGAAGTAAGGCACCGAGACCAGATGGATGTTCGATGGAATTTTTTTAAAAAAGCTTGGGGGATCATCAAATCAGACGTAATGAAGGCTTTCGATGATTTTTATCTTGCTGGCACACTTCCTCATTCGATAGCCCATGCTTTCATCTGTTTGTTACCAAAGAAAGATCACGTGGAAAAGGTTTCTGATTTTCGTCCAATCAGTCTTCTGGGAAACTTAAACAAAATTATCTCAAAGGTGTTGTTTAATCGACTTCAACCCTCTAACAGTCTTGTCTTAGATTTTCAGTTGCAGTGAAGAGGGGTAGAGTGATTCATGAGTCTTGCCTTATTTCAAATGAGCTAATTGATAGCCGAAGAAGAAGTGGTAAACCAGGGCTAGTCATTAAGCTGAACTTCGAGAAAGCCTTTGACTCCATTAGCTGGGAATGCATCTGCAATGACATGACTCATTTAGGGTTGCACAACAAATTTAGGAAGTGGATCTTAGGTTTGACTTCGTCATCCAAGCTGTCCGTTCTAATTAATGGAGAATCCACTGGTTTTTTTTGGAATGTCTCGTGGGGTCAAACAAGGCGATTCGCTCTCGCCTCTCTTGTTCAATATTTCTATGGACATTCTCTCCTTCATTTTGTGTGAAATCAAGAATGCTGGGCATATATCTGGATTCTGTATTGATGAAGCAAGACGTAGAGGAGAGGTCACTCATTTACTATATGCTGATGATGCGATTCTTTTCAGCGAAGTAACTGAGCTGGAGGTGCGTAACATCTTGGCTGCTCTATTATGTTTTCAGGGGATTACTGGATTACAGGTCAATCTTGAGAAAACTAAGCTATTCCTGGTTGGTGAAGTCGCTAATATGGATAGGTTGGTTGAAGTATTTGGCTGTGATTGGCTTTTCCTTGCTACAACTTACCTTGGTGTGCCACTGGGATGTCAGTCTCCACCATCTTCTCACTGGAATAACGTTGTGAGAAGAACCCAAGCTAGATTGAAAGGATGGAAAGGGAGCTTCTAATCTATGGGAGGCAGAGTTGTGCTCAGTAATGTTGTTCTTGCAAGTCAGAGTGCTTACATGAGCTCTCTGTTCCTAATTCCCAAAATATCATCAAATCCTTAGAAAAGATTCAGCGGGAGTTTCTTTGGTCGGGCAATCAAGATAAGGATAGGTTTCACCTTGTCTCGTGGGATATGTGTAAAACAGCCAAGAGTAGAGGCGACTTGGGCATCATAGATTTAGAGTTGCATAAACAAGCCCTGTTATTTAAATGACATTGGAGATTTGCAACAGAAAAAGGAACTTGGTTGAGAGAAATCATAGATATCAAATTTCCCAACCCCTATTCAGAGTGGTTTCCTGGCTGTATTTATGGTAGAATTGGGGCCAGCCCGTGGCTCAACATTATGAAGCTGAAGGATGCTTTTTGGAAGTTAACTTTTGGTCAAGGTAGTTGGACTTCATTCTAGCTTGACACTTGGTTGGCGTCCGCTTGGCAGAAGAGTTTCCGAGAGTTTTTTCTACTGCTAAATCTCCGACATCCACCATTGCCGATTATCTTGTGCATTGGGATGGAAATTTTCACTGGAATATTCCTTTCATCTATTCTCTTCGGGGAGGGGCTGAAAGAGAGCGAGTGAGATTATTTAACCTTCTTGATTCTATTCCTTTTCAGAGTTTTCATGCAGGTCCAGAAAGACCATCTTGGACTGCAGCGGCCAGAGGAGGATTCAATATCCATTCTGCTTTCGAACATCTCGCTTCTGCTTGATTCACGGGTTGGGATAGCTTTCCGTCGAAGATGTTGTGGCAAAGCAAAACCCCGTCCAAGATTTGCATTTTCCTATGGTTGGTGTGTCACAACAGAATCCTTACCATTGACAACCTTAAGAAGAGAGGGATCTGTTTACCCAATTAGTGCGTGCTTTGCAAGAAAGAGGAAGAATCTGCCAATCATATTTTTATCAGCTGTGAGTTCTCAAGACAGGCTTGGAAAATTTTGAAATGCTTCATCAAGATCGATGGTTATGTTGAAGCGGCGACCGACATCTCAGAGAGAGTCAAACGTTGGCCAACTACCAAACCGATGAATCCTACACAATGGTGCTCGAAAGTTAGACTTCATGCTTTCTGCTGGTTTGTTTCTCTTGAAAGAAATGCTAGAGTTTTCAGAGGGGAGGAGTGCCCTGTCCGTTCGCTTGTGTCAAAGATGGGGACTGTTGTCTCTTGGTGGTTGACTGTGGTAGGGAAGGTTGATAAAGATATATCCGATCTTTGGATTAGGGATATGAGAGCCAGGTTGTTCCCTACCAGACCTCTCCCCGAATCCGGGCATTTTACACTTTCCAGATTCATGTTAAGCTCGCTCTTGTTGGTGATGGTCTGCAGCGCTTTTCTGCTTTTTTTGCTTCACTCTATTGCTGCAGCAGCTTAAGGTGTTACTTTCCCCGTTGTTGCGTTGGTGCCTGGTGCTTCTGCAGGCCAGCACTTCATCTGTAAGGGCGAGGCTTGATGTATTTTGTCCCTTTTCCTTTTCCTTTTTCCGCATCTCTCTATGGTGTGTAGAAGGCTGTCTTCTGTCTTTGATTTTCCTTGTACTTCTTCGTTCGTTTTCCTTAATAAAATCTATATCATCCTTATAAAAAATCTGTATTTTATAATAACTAAAACACCCACAAATTCAAAGTAGATACTAAAATAAAGGACATCACTTAGATGCGATAAGATTGAAGCATACATATTATCCAATGGGAAACAAATATTCAAATATGGAGGAATTTTACAATGCTATATAGTATTGGTGCTATAGGTTTTTGCCTTAATGGTACAACTTGAAATTGTACATTTAACGTTGTGGTACAACTTTAGATTATACCTATACTGTTTGTACAAATTTTTTTATGGCACAACTTGAACTTGTACCTTTATGTAATGGTACAACTTCAAGTTGTAAAGTTGTACCTTAACATAATGGTACAAATTCTTTTATGGTACAATCTAAACTTATACATTTCATGTTATGGTACAACTTTAAGTTGTACATTAAAGCACCAATACTATATAGCATAGTAGAAATGCTCTCAAATATGTGGATAAAAGTTTCTCACAGTCAACATCATCCCATAGTGGACATATAAAAGATGTCTCTGATTGAATATAAAAAACGGTCTAACATTGAAAAATGGGATAGCGGCTAAACATGGAATGCTATTACCGAGTTAAATCACCAAACAGCTTCACTAAGATTACACCACAATGATTGAGCATATGGTTCCAAGGCCCAAATTTGACCATGAACTGGTATGTCTTATCTACATGGAATCGAGGATATTCTTCAAGTTGTTCTCCCAATAATTATCATTCTCATTGACCACTTCGGATGGAATCCATTTAAGCCGACTACATGGAAACATCAACCGAATCTCTCCAGTAGGGTCATTATTGGTTAAGTGGACAACATCTCTGTTGGACGCAGTTGACCATAAAAGAGTCAAGTTCGTGACTTCCCTAGTAATTATGTAGGCCTTCTCCTATGAAAAAATGAAGCTATTATTATCATATGGAGTGGTGGAAAAGGTGAGAAAATTATATAAAAACCTTTGTTC